AATACGCTTGATAGCTCATGATTACTCATTAAATAAAGACTACGATCGTTAATGAAATTTTATTCTACTCATAAATTAAATTATATGCATTCAAAGAGCGGTAATTATCGAATCGAAGTAATATCGTCCTTATTAATTGTCGCGGCTGATGCTGACAATTTTTATTACCTAACCTAATTGTTACAGGCGGCAGGGCTATTACTAAGAGTCGGTTTCTTTTAAAAGAAATTCAGACGCGATTAATGTTAAGCTAAAATTAATCATTAGAGAGGAGTGATCCGAAACTAGTGATAAGTGTTTTTTTTTTTTTAGTAATTAGGGTCAAATTATAACGCACACATGACTGAATCTTCTGAGGTAAGAAGTATCTAGCCACACCTACTCGTGTCACTAATTCTTCAGGTAATTCCTTTATAATGGATCCAGCCAATTCATCCAAAGCTAAGGTGAATAAATGATCAAAAGCTCAGATGCCTAGTTGTATTTTCGACAAGAAATCCAGAGCCTTATTCTGCTCAGGAAGAATCTATCGAAAATGGTGCGCAAAAATGATGTTAATTTAAAAAAATTTTATTCGAAATGTGATAATGTCAAAGAGCCTGGAATCCCACTTGATGAGAAATTAAAAGCGTATCCTGACAGTAAGTGATAAAAAGAATGATATTACCGAAACTGTTCCAGCGAACTCTTTGTATGCTCAAAGAACTCAAATTGAGACATAATGAATGATAACAACATAAGTTTGCAGCCCAGCATATTGTTATTCCGCTGATGAATCATCCTATTATATGATGCAAGGTCTAGCCTAAACGATTCCATTACATACTGTGAGTTTAATACACTTTGCACGGCTAATTAGAAAAATAGTTATCAAACTAGCCATTAAAGCTGTCGAGCGAACTAGAAAATGGAAATTGAAGTTGCACATTTCTTTAAATCTAGTTACTTGTCATTATCATGCTTACACTGGAATGTAAAGCTCGACCAAACCAAAGACTTCATTTTCCGTATAATAAAAAGTACAATTATATTTATACTAAATATTATACAGATCCAGAATATTTCTGAAAACGTTTACATCGCATCGAACTAACATCAAGTATGAAACATATTCGTGAAGACGCAGAAATTAAGGTCACCAACGCAAGAGCGGTTTATTTTGCCTTGCAAACCTATATGCATTATGCCTAAATTCGTAGTCCTGGTCGGCTTAAACGGTACTTCTTTTTTGCAACTACTGTATTTTGGACCTTCGATTTAGTTAAACTATCCCCCACCCCACATCCTCTCCTATTCTATCTTCAGCAAGATACAATATACAGTACCTGCTTATCCATCTAGACCATTGTACATTAACAATGATAAACGGTACCATTTAATAGTCTGCTTTTCTAATAAGCGCACGTCCGTTCGAACCATTCCAGTATAATAACACTGAGAAAACCAAAAACAAATTAATCTTAACCACATTTGCATAGTATCTCTTGAAACCCTGTTATAGTGATAATAAATTACTTCATGCATAATTACTGACATTAACTAAACTTATTTGTTTCATAACTCAAAAGCTGGCAGATGCGCAATAATAATCTTTCACAATGTTCTTTATAATAACGTTGATTATAATAAATAATAAGTTAATGCTGTATAAGGGATAGACTCGCATACTCACTAATTATTAATTGCAAAATTTTTAACTATATGCGCAAAGTTAATTTGCTAATGTCAATGACATACGTATTCACAGTATGCATAACGTTTCTTATTATTATTAGATATTGTTGTACACTTATTTAAATAGTAAATAATAAAAATATCAATTCTATTTAATCAGCTCGTCTTTGACCTATTTTCACACATCTTACTCTTTTAAGAAGTCAATTGAGTTTATTATTATTTATTATGGCGACATCCGATCTATAACAATGGCGCATGTTGTGTATCATTAATTAAACATTATCAGGTTATCTGAGCAGAACATGGCCTGTTGTGTTTTCATTAAAACTTTTTGTTATACCAAAATTAGACATTGGATATGTGTTTTACAACCCAAATCATATACACCGCACCAATTCATAACAGCATCCCAGACACTTTTAGCGAGTACACTACATGTAACTTGTTCTCACACGCCAGTGATTAATAAACCGAGCGAACGATTATAACATTATTGTATAATGAATCTGTGAGACATTCGGAACTACTTAATACTACATAATAGAGTCAGAGAGAAGAAGACGGCTGGATATTGCATATAGTGCATAGTATCGAAGTACTAACTTCCGACAAAACAGAATTCTTTATGGTCACAAAATTGGACAGTCCTCAGACAAATTGCTAAAACCGGGGGATGTAGTCATTCTGCAGTTTTCTTACTGAGCTTTAACAACTAGCAAAAAATTAATTCTTTAAGATAAATTTAAAAAACTCTTTGAAAGCATGTCATGACGAGTTCAAGGAGTGCCGTATTTCTCGGACTAAAGTACCCCCCTTGCATAGTACCACCCCACCATTTTGAAGCTCATGGAATGTAAAAGACCATGGTACTATGATCGGTTTGTTACACAAAATACTTGTAAAGTACCATGGTACAGCGTTTTTTATTATTATATTACCATATATTCCTAAAACCATCCGTTTCTTCATAATTATCACCTTCAATATCTACGAAAATATCATTCTCCTTGTCGGTTTGATCAACGCTAATGTCATCCAATCTCTCACTATCAAATATCAACTCATCCTCCGTTCCATCCTCCTTAACAGAAATACCACAACATTTGAATGCGCCTCTAATAAGTTCACCATCGATTTCTCTCTACAACACCACGAACGACGCTGTTTACATGTAAGACGTGCCTTTCGAATTGTCATATTAAAGCAAGCAATATGTTGCAAGTTTTATTCGTGTTCGTAGATGCAAAATTTTTAAGTACGTTACAGCCAATAAAATAGCGATTTACATACTCCTATCATAATACCCCCTAGTATAATACCACTATCCGATCAAAGTACCACCCCGTGTATAGTACCCCATGGGACAACGAGGTTTTGTAAAATACCACTGGTACTTTAGTCCGAGAAATACGGTAATTAATGCAGATGGTGGTTCGACAAAAATTAATTAATTTCAATGGGGTATAGAAACAATTTTTATTATTATAAAAGGCATCAATGCACTGTCATAATAAAAAACCGAGAATTTTAAATAATAAGAAAGTGCTCATAAACTTTTGAGTACCACTGTATAATATCATATATGGGGCAGTGCAACAAAACCAGACAAAGTGAACATTTGAATACATGAGTTAAAAATGGCTGATATAGTTGAAAAATTAACTAACATTTTGGGAAGGCTTTGGCTTAGTGGCACAGCTTTGGCTCATGCACAACCTATGAGCTAATTTTCATTGCATTTTTAAATCTAATCATAAACTTTTTGCTTGAAGTTATAGCATGTTCCATATAGGGCTATCTCTGTATAAAAATATTAATATGAAACTAATTTACATTAAATCCACCATGAACCCAAGAATTACAGCATCATTTTAAAGAGAAAAAATTGCTCTCTACGTTTTTAAAATTAATGATACCCAAACTCTCTGGGACTATCTAGATAGAAAAAAATCACTTATGAAATTTACCAAGAAGAATGAAAAATAAAAATCAATAAACAAACATTGACCTTAACTTATGATGGACCAAGAAAAAAGTGAAACCAGAAGCATAAGCAATTAGCTGCTCTTTCTTATCGATGGATTACCATCAATAATTGGGACAAATTTCCATATACCCTGCTTGAGGTAGAATGACAATAAATATGATGATTTTGGTTCGTTGTGTCCCAATACTACACTTCTTACACAATTCATGACCAGCAAACCAGGAATAATGAGTAAGTATGAAAATTCAGAGACGATGAACATTTATAATTCTGATTGGCATTTGACAACTGGAAATTGGTTATAAAAACAACCCACATTTTCACTTAAAACAAGTTCACAATCCAATCAATCAAAATTAAAATTAATAAAGTTACTGGAAATGTCACATGAGTGCAAAAAAGTACTGATGCTCTTGGATCACATCAAGAAGTAACCAGCAGCAGCAACACCTTTCATCAAAATAAATGAATAAAATGGCAAGCATTGAAGAAGTACAAAAACAGTTGGAGGAGGCGAAGGAGCAGCACAGGAAGGCAGAGAACAAGGTGATGACGTTTAAGGGGAAATATGGGAAGCATTTGGCAGACTTGGAGGATAAGTTGTGGAGTAACAAAGAAGGGATGGAGGCACAGCAAGCTGAGTGGAAGGAGGAGAAGAAAAAGCTTGCAAAGAAAGAGAAGCATCTGGAGATGGTGGCATAGCAAGTGCAATATTGAAGTGATAGAGTGGAGAGCATTGCTCTGTGAGATGATAAGTAAATCTCAATCAGGTAATGATTTTGTGACTTGGGCATTGGGATAGAGTAGTGTGTACTTAGGATAGAGTAGACGGATGTTTTATCCAATTATTGAGACAGAATGCAAACTATTTATATTAGGGAAATATGAGGCTGACTAATATAGTCTTATTGGGAGAAAGTTTATTATAGGTGGATGCTATTAATGAATAATAGATAATACCTTGATTGATCAAGGAATCACTCCAATGGTAGTTCTCTCTTTGCCAACTAGAGCATTTGAAATGTTGCCAGCCCTATTGTCTTTCATGCAGCCTGACATGTGGAAGGATATACAATGACAACTGGTTGTTCTCAACCACTGACTGTCTGTGGCATGCAGCCTTCCTATGATGCTATGTCACCCAGTCTTTGCAAAATTTTCACATTACTCATTGGATAAGCTAATCGACAGTGACAATTGCACATTCATTTTAAAGTTGGCTTATGAAATGTCAGAGGCTTTTGTAAAAGAGGCTGATTGAGCACAGACTTTCTGGGAACTACTGAGGAACTATCTAGGAACGAATATCGAACAGTTGGAAGTGAATAAGGCAGGCATGGATGGCAGCAGCATCACAGCAGCAGGTGTGCTCCTGCTGAATGTAGAAGTCAAGACTGAGTTAGGGTCTGGATTATCTGGCTGTGCTTACATACAAAGCACAGCATATTATGCGGAATTTATCAAAAGCTATTATCAAAAAGAATTGTCAGCACTGACCCAGACCCGGTGTCTGGCGTTTTTACTGTACTTGGTCGGGCCCCACCTCGGGATTGCAGGCACTGTCTACATTGACAAGATTGTAGTACTACCCTTGTATTTTCTCCCTCATGAGCAGAAGAATATGGAAGCAGTTGCTTGTGCTGTTCATGCACTAAAAAATGGCATCGCGGAGTTGAAATCCTACTACCATGACTATCAGAAATTAGATAAAACCCGCAGACGATATCACCAACTTCAATTTCCGTATATCGACTCTGTAACAGTAGACAATGAAATGAGGTATTAGTGAAGTTTGTGCAAACTTATTCTGAACATACGCACCAAAAATGTAGTGACATGGGCATTGCGCCTAAACTGCTGGCTGTGAATGTAATTGCTGGCAACTGGAAAATGATAGTAATGAGTTTGTTAGGCTCAGAGTTTCGACCACTGAATGAGGTACATGGAGGCAAGCGTGAAAAGACACGCAAGTACGTTTTTACTGCAGTAAATAAGCTTCATGAGGCCGGTTATGTCCATGGTGACCTTCGTGGTCCCAATATTATGGTTGCATTTGGACAGGAGAGCGATAAAGTCCAAGTGAAGCTTGTCGACTTCAATTGGGCGGGCATACAAGGTGACGCGCATTATCCGTCGTTTATGAATATGGATCTTAAGTGGCCTCCTAATGTTAAAGTTGGCATGTGCATTGAAAAGGAACATGATTTATTTATGGTTAATCAGTTATATAATGACGTTCCAAGAGCTGACAACAGGAAAAGACGATGAAAATCGCTTTGTTTGACTTAATATAGCACCCTGTATACAGTTGTCTTTATTGTTACAATATATGTAAATAGTATTCTTTGCTACACATACACATATCAGAATAAATTTTGCAGATTGCTACACACACACACACACACAAAATATTAAAATTTATATATAGGATTACCCGTGTATGAAAAATTATAATTATAATGGATCCATTGAATACGAAAAAGCAATGCGTTTCTTGGAGATAGTATGCCGCAAAAATAATTACGAGAGAAAGGTTTGCCGAATTAAGTGTATCATGTCGGACTAGCTTACAACTGGGAGAACAGCGGTGTACTAGCCGTTTTGGGATTTAGTTCGTTTCCAACGGAAGCTTTCGCTCTTCCTACTTTAAACTAAATATCGTACAATTGGTGACCTTTTTAATACTCACGATTCGTATACGATCGGTCTTGTATACGCCTTTCCTATGTTATTGTTTAATCTCGAGATTCTCAGCGATTCCTTTGATGGGATTAAATTCAAAGTCTATCGGAATGGGGAATTGTACTATTTATAGGTGTTAACAATTTAATTAAACAATAATCCTTGAAAAGTACTAAATAGAATTAATTAATCCTATTTACCGTCGGCGGGAAAAGCGATTTAACACTTCACCAACGATATTAAGTATCTTTTATCAGGGAATGATCGAAATAATAAAGTTTATATTTGATCGGATATTTATTAGATTATAAGGAACTATCTAATAGCAACGTCTTGCTGAATGATCTGAAGATTTGATCCGAACTGAAGATGATTTTTAACTATAAGCTACGGCTCGTATTTATAACTAATTTACGTTCTACAGCTGTCAAGAAAACTGGAAGGTTGGAAATATGGATATAAGCGGACATCTTGTGGTTGTTAAGAAATATGGATATATCAAGAATTTTGGATATATCATGTTTGTGCGCCTCCGTTTGACAACCGTACCACTTGGATTTCGATACTGCGGCATCGGAGATTTTCGTACCACTTAAGCGGAGGAATATGTCTTGATCCTGACAATCACAAGTGAGAGCTTTTAGTGAAATTTTTTCTACACCTAAAAATCAGCGAGTATGTAGAAAATGCCTCATAAACCAATTCAAAAAACTTTCTGCTAAGAAGAAAAAACAGAAAAAACAAAAAATTCTGTAGAAGGAAGGTTAAGTGAAAATGAGCAACAAATTTCTACTGCTAAAACTCAAGTAGACCAGCATGAAAAAGAAATAAAAGAAACTAAAGAAGAAATTTCTGCTGTTAAAACTCAAGTAGACCAAACCACTGAAAAAGTGGAGATAATAGCAAAAGAATAGATAATCAAGAACAGCAAATCACAAATTTAGAAGAAAGAACAACGAAAGTCAAAGAAATAGTATTTTCTTCAAAAAATGGCGATTAAACATGTATGCTTCCACCGGAGCTTATGTAGTTGGTTTTTATTTAGTTAAAGAAGCAATTTATAAGTGAATTAACCCCCGCATTAGTGAATAAAATGTTACTCAAAAAATTAATTACTATAACAATAGTATGTTTGGTTGTTGGTACTGGATTTTATTTAGATGGTATTATTACTTCTTCCATAAAAACACCACTACAAAGATTAAGTATTAAAATAGAGAATGCTGATATTGACGAAAAAAAAGAAAGCCTTATTATCCAAAACTCAACAAGTAAATAAACTTTTTAAAAAGATTTGGATTATTAGTGGTGGTTGGTATTTTAACCAAGCTAACAGAAGCATACTGAAATAAGCACATATTATCCTATCTATTGGAGCCATTAGGATAATTCGAGATGTAACCAAAACATTAAATTAAAGAAATAGATTTTATTTGTTAACTTCTTTTGTCCTCCCTGTTACTACGTACTATATTGTATGGATAAATAAACAAACAATAGATGGTGGTAAATAAACTAAAATGTTATACTTTTACCAACAACAAATCGACAATGATCTTTTAGTGGAGCCTGGTGGCAATGTTTATTTTTTTCAAGTTTTCGTTTCTTTCTTGGTTCATTATAACTTGGCATTAATGATCGTTTATTAGTTATGATTTTCCTTTCTTCTTGGTAAATTTTATAAGTGATTTTTTCTTTACCTGGAGAGTTTGGGTATCATTAATTTTAAAAACGTAGGGAGCAATTTTTTCTCCTTGAGCTTTCTTTAAAATGCTTCTAATGGTGCTGTAATTCTTGGGTTCCATGGTGAATTTAATGTAAATTAGTTTCATATTACGTAGTCACTCTCGATAAACTTAATATTAACTCGGACAAAATTTTTTTCGCCTTTTTTTAAAAAAATTCGATAAGTCGGACACATATAAAATCGCGGTAAACCCGAATCGGGCAACCTTTCAATCGGGTTATAACAAATGACTCTCGATAAGTTGGACCACGTGATTGTTTGCAATAATCTTTGCCGTTTTTGTGAATACAATACAATTAATTATCCAATGATTTAGCTAAGAATAATTTTATCGTGATATTGTACGTTGCATACGCAATTATTACCTCATTTGCTTTTTTAGAAAAAAATTCTCGTGGTTATCATAAACAACGCATAATATGCTATGAATAACGTAGGTATCACATCATTAATAATTCAGAAGAGCAGCGCGCTTGCATGGAATAAATATATAACTTATAAAACGTTGACTGCCGAACCTTCTGAATATATATATATATATATATATTGGAATCCTATTTACATTTGTAAAATGAACATGGAAAGAACGTCTAGACTTGGAAATAAAAAAAGAATTATGTAAATATAAAGCAAACAATCCAACTAAATCGTATGAGGAGGTTGGTAAAAAACTCGGTATTGGCAAATCAACGGTGGGAGATATTATTAGAGAAAAAGAGAAGTGGCTTGCAGTTACCGAAAGTTCAACAGATGCCAATAAAAAATGCAATCGTGGTTGCGAATGGCCACAATTCCTGATTTCAAATCCTCGCAAAAAAGTTTTAATTTTCTTTCGTATCATTGTTAAATTAATGGGTAAATCAATTTGGCTAATTATACATAATTGCCATTAAACTTGTCTATCTGTTTCAAACTGGCAAACTTCAAAGAACGAAACAATATTAAAAAATATTATAAATTGATAGAGCAGCGAGTGCGCTGATTAATGAATTCAGAACTGAGCTCCAATCTGAAATTTCGCAGTATGATTTAGAAGACGTGTATAATGCAGACGAGACTGGTCTCTACTGCGGACCTATTAGTGGACTAAAAAAACCAAAAGACAGAACCACTACCACGCTTGTGCAGTCCCAGCTGATTGCGTTCAAAATATTTAGTTTGGGAATTTCCATATCGAATTCTTGGTGTTTGTCAAATGCTCGAATCCTATCTTCGCATAATAATTTTCTATAGTGAGCCTATAATATAAAGAAATAAATGTAAGTTTTTTTTACTAAAACATGAGAAAGTAATGTACGTGTATAATTACTTTGAATGCCCTGATCAATCGGCTGAAGGTAAGAAGTTGTGTTTGGTGGAAGAAAATGCAACTTAATGTTACTTAATTCTTCTATTTCACTTTCAGCCAATTGATGTGATGAAGCATTGTCTACTAATAATAAGATGTTCTTCGTCTTTTCCACATTTCTCTGTTAAATTGTTTGATCCATGCTTTAAAAATAGAGCGTTGCATCCATAATGCATTGTTCCAGTAACATTGCACACAGGAAGTGTTTGTTTATCAATATGGTGAATAAAACGTAGATTTTTATATTTATAAATAAATAGCGGGAGTAGTTTGTGAGTTCCAGTCGCGTTACATGTAAGCATTACTGATGATACAGTCCATCGCATCGTTGTTGGAAAAGGACGGGAATTTTGCCTGACGAGGAAACGCATGAAGGAGAAAGTGAATTAGAAAATGAATTAGAAATCGAAGAAAATGAAATCCAATCACTCATGCATCAAATGAACGTTGACGATATTGTAGCGAGCGATTACATTAACATTGATACTAGGATAGAAGTAGCTGATATGATTGATGAAGGTGATATAATTGCTGCAGTGCAGGAAGCACCAGAGAAGAAGACGGGGAAGAGGAAGGGGAAGAAGAATCCATAACAATATCAAATATAGCATTCAAAATATATTCAACTATTTACAACAAAATTCTGACGTAAAAGTAAATGTATCAGTAATCTCAGGAATGAAAGACCTACAGCGTCAATTGGAAGGAAGCAAAATGCTTCTCTAAAGCAGCTCACGTTGGATGTTTTTTGTAAAAAATGAATTCGCATATATTAATATTCGCCTATTGCTTATATTTAAATAAAAGTACATTTTTCAATATGAAATTCGATAAGTCGGATAAAATCTCCGCCCCGATGAGTCCGACTTATCGAGAGTGACTATGTAATATTTTTACACAAAGACAGCCCTATATGAAACATGCTAAGCTTCAAGCAAAAAGTTTATGATTAGATTAAAAATGCAATGAAATATCTTCTTTTTGAAGACACGGATAAGCAAAGGGCAATAGCATATATAACGGGCGCATTGGGAATGTGTCTTGTAGTGCTTGAATTGCTTAAAATACCATGGCTTATTTCAATGATGCAAGCGGTATCTTTCCACCTTCTTGTTTCGATTCTGGTGAATTGTTGCCATGCAGTTGGAAATCGAGGTGACTTGGGTTGTACTGGTAGGAGTCGTTTTCTAGCTTGATTTACCGTATTAGCTCATAGGTTGTGCATGAGCCAAAGCAGTGCCACTAAACAAAAGCCTTCCCAAAATGTTAATGTTAGTTAATTTTTCAGCTACATCAGCCATTTTTAACTCATGTATTCAAATGTTCACTTTGTCTGGTTTTGTTGCAGTCTGCCCCGTATTACGTCCTATCATTAAACGATGCATCAATGTAATTTGTTTTATCTACGTCTTTACTCTTGGATTAAAATTTTAAGATTGATTCAAGTGTTCGTTATCTCTTTTTAATAGATTGTATAATAAAGACTTATTGTATATGTTGTCCGACTTATCGAGTGTCACTGTGTATATCACTTTGTATCCTTAAAAGGTGATTTGCACAAATGCGGTATATCGAGCCATTGAAGGGAGACGCCATCAGACGGCTAGATGGAGCGATTGACAACATAACAATTCCCAGGTTCTCACACGTACGTCATGAGCAACAAACATTACGTTAACATTATTGGTGACAGTCTGTGTATTCCCACAGCCAGTTGGAGATTAATATACCTGTATGCCTATGCTGATAACCGCCAGAAACATGTCTTTAGACTTCGACGAAATGAATAACATCGTTGATTTGCCCTCAAGTCTTTCGTCTGACTATGAGAAACTTTATGAAAGTGGCAAATATACAGACATTTCAATTCATGTTGGAAAGGAGCCAAATAGCAAAACATTTCTTGCTCATACTTTGGTATTATGTGCAAGGAGCACATTTCTCGAGAATAACCTAACGGAAAATACAGAAACTGCTATAACGTTCGAAGATATCACACCCGACATTTTTGAGGTTTTGCTTAGGTAACAAATGTATTATCAGTTGAAGCACATTGTCAATATTTACTGAAAACATGATTATACAGATATATCTACACTGGGCGAATGTCTTATGATTCATGCAAGAATATTAGCTGGATTGGCCTTTTGAATGGAGCTAACAAGTTTGAGCTGTATGATCTTCTCATTGCAATTGAAAATTATATGATCAGTGCACAAACAGAATGGATTCAGCAAAACATCGTTACAGTTCATAAGTATGCTTTATCCACGGGTCTCTCAAAACTACTGGACTACTGCAATCAAGCTATGGTTTTACATCCAGATATTATCTTCAACTCAAATGACATTGCAAATTTACCAAAGGAGACTTTGATTACTCTTCTCAAGAATGATAATCTTGATACTGATGAAGATAATATTTGGTTGGCAGTTGTACGTTGGGCCATGAAACAATCACCTGAACTCGGAAATGATCCAGATAGGTGGACATCTGAAGACATTAACAGAATAAAGGATATCATAGCCGATTGCATACCTCATATAAGATTTCTTAACATTTCCCTTAAGACATTTGCCCTGTATGATGATTTATTACCAAGAAAGTTACGCTGTCATATACTGAATGATCATGCTGAAGGGAGCTACAAACTAAACATGTTACCACCAGTAAACAGATTAAGATGTATTGATTCATTCATTATTAATGAATATCAAATGAAATGGATCTCATCAAAGATTGTGGAATCAACAAAGCAACTTCAAAGGATATCAAAGGAGCAAAATCGTCTTTATAAATTTACTCTACTTTATAGACAAAGTAGGGATGGTAATTCAGTGGCTAATTTTAGAAAACTGTGTAATAATAAAGGACCCACAATTGCTGTTGGGAAGGTATCAGGTACTGGTGAAATACTTGGTGGATATAATCCAACAGCATGGAATTCCCAAAATGGTTATGTCAGTACTGAAGAAAGTTTTGTATTTGCATTAGATAAAGATAATTTGGAGAACAATATAGTAAGTTTTGTTGTTGATAGTAAATATGCAATTCATGATGATGAAGAGTGTTTTCCTTGTTTTGGGAGTGTTGATTTATTTTTTGGTAATTACCAACATTTACCTTCTGCTGAAAAGGATGTCTATAATGTTCCACTAAGGCTTTCGGTGAATGATTTTGAATGGGTTGATTGGGAGGTGTTTTCTGTTCTGAAAGTTTGATATAAACTGAAAAATTTTTTTAAGTAAAATTGGTAGCTGGTATCAAATAAAGTAAACCACTAATTTACTTATCTTTATATTTGATGTGGCTTGAAGCTAATTGGTAGCGATGACAAAGTTGAGTTACCTCTTCGATGACATGTTAAGTGAGATAACCACCACGAACGATAAATCGTTCGATAATTTTATCCAACTATTGTAAATACGCCTCATTAAGCGACATGTATTTTTCTTGCATGCACCACAGAGATAATCATATCTCTCTTTCACTAAACACCATTAACGCTACATCTGTTCTGAGCTAAGCGGTTGTTCTTTATCTGCGATAATAGCCCCATATCGTAAAGACCATCAAAGGTGCTATCAAACTGAAAATAGTATTGTTATTTTCAGAATATAGTTTTGGAGCAAAATCTCATCATTAAATAACGTAATATTAATATCAGTGCATGTGCAAAGTTAACATCGCATCGTTGTGTGGCCCATCACGTCGATGAAACTTTGTGTGATAGCTACATAATTACTTGTCTTTAATTCACCCGCTCAACAGAGCAATAACATGAATGTTAGGAGAGTGACTACATACTGCAAACTGCATAACGGAGTGCAGCATGCACACCTCAGTATTTTATATATATACATGCAAGCAATATTATTGGGTGCTGAGCTAATGAGTAAAAAAAACACAAGCCTAATCGCCTGCACACACTATCATCACATATATATATTAACGTCCGATAAAACTTAAGTAAACTAACCTGCGGTAAAATTCGAGAGATTCTTGATTGTCAACCTTCCTTGAATACTTGACATTCGGGCGTGTGATAGAACTATCACAGTTTGGAACCTAAAATTCCCGTAGTTGACGGATATTAGGAGTGGTTCAAGACGTCTGGCTACTCAAAGAGTCACGTTTACCAGCACATACTGGCAACAATTCAAACACTACTCTTCGGTTATTCCTGTCGCATACCTCCAATCCTCAGCACCACAGTCCAAAGGTCCGCCTTAGTCTCGTCTTCATAATAATAACGCTGCTAACGTTATTTTCGATAATAAAACAAAATCAGTATAAAGCGACGACAGCCACACCATATGAAAACTCTGTCTGTAGTCAAAACTTACTATGTTGCCAAGCAGTGTGATTATAGATAGATTCCACTGTATACTGTCTTTTAACGTTTCCTCTCTGAGTGCGAATGCATAAAAAGTTTTTTATGGGTAAGTAATCCAATTTATCACCGCGTTATTCCGTGATACAACGCCATTTTCACCAATTGAAACGCCTAACCACAAGAAAGACACCCCTTGTTCTCCATGACAATAACGCGAGAACCGAGGTCAGCTACTCAGATTCCTGTCAATTCATACTGAAACAGCTGGAGTAGAACGAGAGTCAATACTAATACGACACCTAATAATTCTATAGCATCATCTAGTCGATAGGATTTACTTTATATCGCTAGTAGTTTTGGTTTTAACAATTTTAAACAATCACTAGCAATATAGAGACATGTGTGTCTGTTTGCTCCATTGTCAGATATTACCATTTTCTTCTCATAATGGTCTTAGCCGACTTGCTTATATTTCCGCCTCACGCGTAATCACGTGGTAAGACGACAATTGATGTGGTACGGCTGTATAAGCACATCTTTGGAAGTACCTACTCTCATAATAATAATGCATAATAGCGAACGTGATCGGTGATGCAGTTGTTTGTCATGTCATGAAAAAGACAAAAGCAACAAAAGCAAGGATTAAACAAGAAAGCATAGGAGCATCCATCGCCTATTGAATATATTACATAATATTTACTATTTATAATTTCTCATGCACAAAGTTGTGACACTGCTGTCTCCTTCTCCGACCCCCGAATCCGTTCATGGCATACCCCATTTAAAGAATCTGTGTTGGAGAATCAACCGACAATATACTATTTTGCATCATAAAGTTAATTGAACCCCACTCCATACTGTAATTACCCTCGAGCGAGTAGCTGATTGAGTGGCGAATAGTGCCAGACTTTTTTGTTGACTGGATATAGAAAGCATCAAACAGCCAAGATAGTCCTTCTTTGGGAAGAGAATAAATAAGCTGAAAACAAGGCAGAAAGGAAAACATAAGCCGAAGTTGTAAACAGAACAATAAACTTAATACTTTTAAAAAAATTAAATGTCAGACAACAGTATTATACAGTCGACAAATCCCAGTCCACTAGCAAATGCATCGTTCTCTGAAGTATTGGACGAACTAGCAACGTATGTCGACATACTTTGCATTCATGTTTAACCCTCTTGTTGGGATTCTTACACTAACGTATATGTTCGTTAATACTTGCTTTCCTTACAAAATCCTTTCATAATGTGTGCCCGCTTTCCGTCTCCTCGCTCTATATGACCCCCCACAGACGCTTTATTATCAACGTACCCGATGAGGAATTTTCTTCTCTACCGCGAATTTGTTTCCAAATTGAACAAGCACATTGGTTTTATGAAGATTTTGTTAGAGAACAGCAACCACAATTACCAAGTTTTACTCTCAAGAACTTTTGTATAAAAAATATCCTTTTTTAGTGGGCATCGAGTATGTGATAGATCCTTTGGGGAGGGGGGGGGGGCGGGCGAAAGAATACGTGCAGAATGCGGTATAGAGAGAGGAGAGAGGGTTATGGCTGTATCATATGCGAAAGATATTAGTTCATAGAATTTAGGGATGTACCTCATAAATGATTACTTTGTCATCTCTTGACTCTTAACATACTCTTTAGACATTGCCCATTGCTTAGACAATGGTCGAATGAGACAGAAAAGGCATTCGCAGCTTTCTTGGAATATAAAACAAGAGTGCCCGTCTGCGGGGCCGTTATCCTGAATGCAAATACAGATAAGGTTAGTCGAATACGCAATCGGATACTAAACGATCTATTCATAATCGAAAGCAAAGAAGTCGGCTCGAATATGCTGAATATTCCATTTCGTATCTACTTTACTAGGTTCTCCTTGTCAAGGGATGGACATCAAAGTCGGGATGGGGCTTCCCTAAGGGAAAAATAAACAAAGATGAACTAGATGCTGCATGTGCCGTTCGCGAGGTGCGTTGAATAGGCTTGCTGTACAATCAGTGTTCTTTTTATTTCAACAGTTGGACACTCACATATTCGACTCTTTAATTTTTAGGTGTTTGAAGAGACAGGTTACGATATCGCAGACCTAATAAAAGAAGAGGACTATATAGAATTAACAATTAGGGAGCAAAGAGTGCGGCTATATATTGTCGTTGGAGTACCGGAAGATGCGAGTTTTGCTCCAATTACAAGAAAGGAGATTAGTGTGCGTATGGAAATTGTATTTTAAGTTGGATATCAACAATATTTGTAGTAACAATTAAAATTTCGTTTGTAGAGGGTAGAGTGGCATTATCTGTCAGATCTACCGACCTGGGGACGAAATAAGCCAAGTCAAAATAAGCAAGGAACTCGTCAATATTATATGGTTGTACCATTTGTAAGGTATTTATTGACGAATGCAGAGAGTGTAGACATGTCAACTTGTCAAGTTTGATCTTTGTCGTTTCTACTTCAGCTTCCACTCACGCTTATATGTTCTACTCATTGATACAGTAAAATCAGATCCTGGCTTGCAAGAATGAGGAAAGTTGTCGAGGATTCAGGATTATCCGAAGAACAAGCAGAGACGTCAGAGGTATCCGATACTGACGTACCCAGATATACCTACAGAGGTACAGTTGCCACCTCTTCATCCGTCAACGGACGACACATAACAGCCCCGAGACCTGTTGCGGCAACAGCAAACGCCGCAATAGCAGCACTCGCTTCCTCCAACTCGACATCCACGTACTCGGAACAGCAAAGACGTAGCTCTCTTCTTAGTCTATTTCAACAAGATGCTAGGCATCACTCACCGCCGCCCCCAAACACTACTCAGTGGCAGTCTGAGAATCCGGCAGTCAGCTACAGTTCATCGGATAGAAGCACGTCATTGCTAAATTTGCTCGAAGGAGGCATCAGCTCGTCTTCATCTCAAAGATCACGACAAGATAGTGGGACATCTCATTCATTGACCGATGGAGGTTAGTATGCGTCATCTCGATCTTTTTGCCACTCTGGACTTGATGGTGGGAAGAGTTTACTTGGCTGGAAACCTTTGCGAGACATATTCAATTGCTGCGAAAATATTATTTATCCGTTCATCGCCAAATTCACCTCATTCCACCACTTTTGAAGAACCTTTGTTTTCAAATACAATTGACTTGACATTCTTTTTTATTTTATAGGTTCCCTTTCTAGTCTCTACCAGGACCTGCTTACATCTACCGGTCTAACAACAGATGCCAAATTATCCTTTCTCAGCAATCGTTCGGTTAATGGACACCTAGTTCAGTCAGATACTTCTTCGATTAACACAGGATCAACTGACTTTTCGCTTGATGGATATAATCCTGGTACAACAAGCGACAATAGCAGTAGTGTTAGTAGTAATAGCGATAGTAGTTCGTCTATTTCTCAAGCAGACGTATATCCTCTTCAAGGGGCTTACGGACTGATCCATGTAAGGGGAAATGATACATTTGCTGTGACTGGTGTAGGAATGAAAGTAGGTGAGAGTCAGAGTCCGTGGTTAAATTTCCGGTTCGATACGGATAAGATTCTTGCAGCCATGAACAGAGCGTCAAATAGCATAAAGTAGGGTGATCTGATTATAGTTCGTGTTGCTAATCGTTGTAATAAATAATGTAATCTACCGAGAGACTTTTTACTTCCAGGACGTGTGCGGATATCACGTGGTATGTCTGGTATGTCTATGCAGTTCATGTCTCAATATGGTCATAAGACTTGGTCAGATGATTTAGTTTTGTAAAACTAGCCCGAATGATACTCGTTTGACCTCAAGTGGCGCTCAATCTCACACTCATTGTTTGTTTCACAATATTACGGATGGGGTCTTTTTGTGTGGGAAAGACAATATTTTAGCCCGTAAATGGCGTTTTTGAGTAATGTTCACAGGTACATCAAATGATGCTAAAGATTTTATACAGTCTGGACCATAGTACGACTGGTTCAGGTTACATCAACAGAAACAGCAACAAAAACCATACCGCCGATAACTTATCTGCTTAGGGGGGTCGTTTCTCTACTTATCAAAAGGTTGCCCGAATATTCGTCAACCCAATTCAGTTCAGAAGAGAGACTATCCACAGTTAGCAATGACTGGTTTCAATGAATCGGAATATAGACTAGATTAATGACGCTAATTTTGTTTTGGATTTATTAATTACAAATTTCTTTACCGATTTGAAACCGATTGAAATTTGCCCCTAGCAAAATGCCTCACTATTCATAATTATCATCATACCTTTAACGAGATGGTGAATACCAAATTATTACATGCTAGCTTTTCTGCATATAACCGACAGAGATCATGACAGCTTGGCAAATGTTCAAAGATGATTAGTAGATATGCACATGCTTGCATACAGGATTAATGTGCTTAGTGTATACTGTAACGATGTAACGATGATTATTTATATCGAGATTTAGAATGACAGAATTGGACAATATATGCCACAAGAATACATTTGCATTGCTCGGCAAATCAGCTCGAGTAGTATTAAGTAATTCTGCATTGCAAGGTGTGTTCTTCAAATTAACGTTGTGAAGTATTATACAATAGTAGTGTTTATGTGACATATTGGTACCTTTAGTGAATAAATCTCGTAATGTCACTGTATTGCTCATGTGTTGCAAACATCTATTCGTATTTATGTAATAGACGCATTTCCTACATGGCCTTGGTTGTTATCTGGTGCAACAGGCAGTATGATTATATGCTGTGAAAAAATAGAACCGAATCATATTCGCTATAAAGGCATATCGTCCTTCTAATATGATTTCTTGATTTCTTGGCCTGTGCCTTACGCGTGGATTATATACCAAACCGCTGGTTTCTTCTCCGCACCAAACAGTGTCTTGATTCGTGTTAATATTAATGCGATAAATTGATGTATCTTTACTTCAAAGTTGCCCAATTTGATTGTTAAAGTGATTATAATTGTCTATTTAGGTAGTTTCGTCCACAATAGGAAATTGCCAATTATATTTACTTCGTTTTTTGTATCCGTAAATGAGAAATTTACATTGCTTTCGACAATAGCTTTCGGCAACTTTTAATGTTATCAGGAACAAAGAAATAATTACATGCTTGTGATATGCTCTTTTAATATAATCTTTTGAATAATGAATTAAGAGGCGGGTAAAAAGAGGTTTACTTTGCTACATGATAATAATTATAAGCCACTTTTGCTTGTGATATTAATGTTGACAGCAGCCATTATAAGTACTTGGGAAATAATATCTTATGCGTCACATCTGTTTCCAATTAAGGAACAAATATACTGTATGTGCATATAATACGTCATGCGATCTGAATAATTGTGTAATTATCAGCAAGAAATTAATTTGGAATATAGCGTTTTAATCCTTGAAAGGAAAGATTGTAATTTTACACTAGAAAAGGTGTCTGTGCTAATCTGATAATTATCAAGCGGCCTTGAGATAATTAGTGCTTTTCTAAGACAAGCACTTTAAACAACTGGCCACATTCTCCTCGGAAATACAAGAAGTAGGCATTATCTTGTAGGCATTATCTTGTAGGCATTATCTCGTAGGCATTATCTTGTAGGCATTATCTTGCAGAATACAATTTTTTACTCCCGCCAGCAGGAAAACTAATCAGTTGTTATAAAATGCGCAACTCCGTAATCAAATAAAACAACCCTTTTTAAATTCGGTATTAAATGACAAGCATTTTTGCTAGATCGAAGTTAATTTTAGCCGATATTTCTCCAGTGCAATTTTGATACTTTTTATTGATGGCAATAGTCACGTTAAACTCATGCTTATAAATGTAATAGAGAACAAATATAAAAGTCCTCACCGCTGACTAATCTAAACAACTAAAGCTGATACAGAAAGACTGTCCTTAAGCGCTTATACTTGTTCTGATAATAATAATAGTCTTGTGACCATCAACATTATGCTGGTGGCAGATCAGCTTATTTTGAAACACGAGAGAATTTCTGGAGCAAGCGCCTCGTATGACTAAACCCGGTTAACCCCACATTCCCATAACGATAAGACCTTTCCATTATTCTTTTCGCACACGAGATGTCATCGCCCATCCGCAAGTGGAAAATGGGCAAGATTGCACTAAGCTGCGGTGGAGATCAACACCATTTCTGCCACGATTAGAATGACATTCAAACAGGAGCGAGGAAAATTGTTTGAACATAAACAAGACCCTGCTTTTTTCATGCAGGAAAAAAAAAAGTTGCTTGCTTAAACCATAAACCATCAGCTAGTGTCAGCAAACAAGTGATCATTTCCAATCGGTCGTTCGATGGAAGTGATAATTCATTTCTTAATATAAGGTTTGGAAATTTAGCTCAAAGTTAAGTAAACCGCCTTAATAGTAATAGAGTTGTAATTTAAGCACTCATCTCCTCTAAAGTTTCATTGTGCCACCGTGCGTGTCATTTATTACAATACAAAGCATCATTCGAAACGACCAGTAATAGTAACAGTGAATACGCCTGATTGGTTATTATTTCATGCTAATTACAATTTACTGTTTAGATAAAATGCAACACTACTTTACTAGAAGTAACAACACGACCTATTAGCGAAGTCGCCCATTATTTTGACCTGTATCCACGGCAGCTTTCTTTGCTCTCAGGATAAAGTTACGCTTAAAGCGTGTTCTGTATTTGTAGAGTTTATTAATTTCACATAATTTATTAGTTTTATTTATTTATTTTCTCATTTTATCGTTCCTTTATAAGGGAGTCTTTATAATAGTCAAAAGAACATTTACAACTGAAAAAGTAAGGTCTATGTCCCAGGAGGACTTGAGAAAAGAAGATAGCACTATTGCTACATATACATTCACGTTCCCATAGTCTCTCCTTTACCCGACTCCCCACCCCTCTCTCTTCCTCTCTTCCTCTCTTCCTCTCTTCCTCTCTCTCTCTCCACCTTAATTAATAATGAGTAATCCAAATAGAGCTTCACGCCATGCGTCTGGCATACTCCCTTCAAAACAATTCTTTGCTCCTCGAAAACCAATACCTTCATACCCATCCTCTGCGAGACGAAAATCTACACTCTCAGCCACGTTTCCTGGCTCGCCGACGTCAAACAGTTTCTTATCGCTGGAGCCGTCAACACGAACACCTATAACATCACTGATCTTGGAAGAGGGTAGTTCGACTAATTCACAACGAAACTCCATTCCACTCGACTCTTTGTCGTCACCTACTCAGGAGACAACTATTCATACGACAGACGGCAACCCGACTCCAGTTGTTCGACAGGGTCCATATCATGCTCGTCGGTCAAGACAGTCGGGTATATTATCGGCTGCTGGAGTGCTGGATCCGACTTCTCCTTCATCAATGTCGGAACCCACTTCCTCTGTCCGTGGTAGATTATCCGACCCTATGGGTGGTATTAATAACAAGCGACTGTCATCCAAACATAATTCATTTCTTGCTGTACCATATTCATCTGTGAATGCAAAACCTAATGCTCAATTAACGTCGCATACGGGTGGAACTGAAGGAGATAGTAAAGGACGGAGAAGAGTATACCAATTATGGCCTGGGAAGAATAGGTTTTTCTTGGGAGGGAGGATTATGACTAGTAGAGATTTTCCTGCATTTGTGGTTGCACTTTCTGCTCTGATTATACCATCATCACTATTCCTGGCTTTCACGTAAGTGGACGTGTGGAAAAGGAATGTTAATGCGATCTATATGTGCGATCTATATGTGCGATCCAACAGGGTTGGGAATGGGTGTTTATGTGTATTTTGAATCGTGACTAAAGATCGGTTTCTTTTCCCTCATTTTAGGTGTCCATTTTTGTACAGTCATTTATCACCTGCAGTTGTATTTGTCTTTGCATATTTATTTCTTTTGGCATTAACAAGCATGTTGAAGACGTCGTGGACTGATCCTGGTGTAAGTGTTATAGCAAGTGGAGAGGAAGACAAATAGTTTACTCGAGCGAGAGCGAGCTAGCTGGGTTGAACCCTTTGATCGGCTCATGTCTGCCTTGTTTATTTGTGCTAACTTGCGCTTCTATCTACTTAGGTTATTCCCAGAAACCTTGATCCAACCCCACCGACCGAGGAATCTGAAGTTCTTGATAGCATTGCACAGCATGACACTCCATTTCCGTATTATCAATCGCGTACCTATGTACTGCCAAAAGACGTTAAGGTTAATGGGCAAACAATGATATTGAAATACTGTACTACGTGCAAAATTTACAGACCACCGCGATGTAGCCATTGCCGGCAGTGCCAGAACTGTGTTGGTACGTATCAAGAATGTAAAGGGCTATCAGTATGAGTTGTATATAGTACTGACTTTGTAATTTTGTAGAGAATGAGGACCATCATTGTATCTGGCTTAACAACTGCATTGGAAGGCGGAATTACGCAACATTTTTCACGTTCATATTAACGGCAACTGTAATATGCTTTTACGTGCTTGGTTTCAGTCTGGTCCATTTGTTTCTGTTGATGCATGATCGGAATGAGGACTTTTTAGATGCTGTGATGGATGCACCCATAAGATATCCTTTTTTGTAAAAGGCTGTAAAGCATAGTGATTTGTTGTTTAGGATGAATCGAGTATTGATAAATGTTATCCTTGACTGTTGATATATACTTTCGTTTTATCTATATTAGCGTTCTTTCTCATGTGGTCAGTGGGTGGATTAACTGCATACCATATGTATTTAATAAGCAAAAATCTTACTACTCATGAACAGGTAACTTGGCATGCTATAAAAAAGCTCTATGCTTATTCATACCACTCATTAATATATACTGTTATTATTTTTTAGTTACGCGCTCCAATTGCTCGTCGTAATGGAGCCCGTCATCCATTTGATCGCCACAATCTCTTCAAGAACTGTTTCTCGGTCCTTTGTAGGCCATCAATAAACAGGTCAGTATATCGGAGTGCAAGTGACATGAGGCAAAATTACGGTTGGATAATAATGCTATTATTTATTGCACGCTTTGACTAAATAAACCTTTGTCAATGTTCTCTTTATTTAGCACCATTCATCGTCGCTCTTTTGTTGATATAACTCTTCCATCCACATCGGCACCTACACCTACGCCTTCATTTCCAAATCTATTTTCAACAGCCGCTGTATCACCGTTAAATACACGACCACAATCGCAGACGCAGATACACGAAACCGTTGGATCAAGAGATTATCAAGCTACATTGGATGCTAATATTGCATAATTGTAATGAGAATAAAATACAAATAATAACATGTCACATCAAACTTTAACCTGTAATTAATCGGTTTGGGTATAGTTGAGTATAATTGGCATCGGAGCGTCTTATATAAAGTAAAACATTGCATGGGACGTCAAAATCATGCTACATTTAAAGTACAGATTAGATAATATTGTATTAGACTTTATATTAGAGGTTGACACATTTTAATAAACCCAAAAAAGCTCATTTTGTGTAATTCTATCAATACACATGACGGTTTAATTGGCGAATCAAAATTTGTAAAATTTATGAACCTTACACAAAGTTTAAAAGGGTGTTTTCTAAAGTATGTTGGATCACCTCGTTTGAAAGCTTCCGTTTATACTCTTCATGCCATTAATATTCTCCATCGACCTGCAAATAAATTAGTACCAGAAATGTACGGCGAACGTAAACAGTTACTGTGGTGACAATCATCATCAAATGGAGTCTGGTCTGGTCCCGAGCGAGACTTGCCTCACATTCTTGTCGATCCATAATCAACGAAAAAAGCGGGAAAATAAGGGGTTTATAAAGATAAATTAATAATGGCTCGATCTGCTGTAATTCAGTCTTTTTGAACAGATACCGTGATAAGGCCAGTATTACGTGCTGGGATCGTGTATTACATCACCTGGTTTACGAGCAGGTCTACGTAATGACAATCTTTAACTTTGTCAGATTTCATGTTATTAGGGTGTTTATTATACATACGTATATTTACTTCTATTATTAATAAATACGAGTTGAATAATTCATCATCTCACACATCTGAATATTCTCAGTTAGTATCGATCGGATCTATTGTAAACAGTAGCCAGGATCGATTGCTGAATACTGAAAAGTAAAAGAAGAATGTTATTAGCAGAAAGAGAATGGTCAATCGGTAACTGTTTGGAATAATAATAATAATAATTGTTATTTGCAACCGTAAATCGTTAAATTTTACTACTGGGGTTTCGCATAATCCTGTAACTGTCAGATAAACCTCATAATTAAAAACTCCTTTATATTTGCCGTGAGTAGAATTTTCGGCATTGGCAATATTTACGTGTTTGGTGTTTTAATAGGGCCATACTACAACAAACCCAGACAAAGTGAATATAACCACATAAAAAATTTTTGGATTCAAAGTCATAACAATTAACCTATTTCTTTGGATAATTTTCTTTGTTATGTCTTTCAATATTTATAATTCTTGCTTTATTACGTGGGTAGTCGGAAAGTTTTGATTGTCTAATTTTTACTCAAAAGGAAATATAGTAAAAAAAGTTTGAACAAATCAAAATAAAGTGTAGTTCGAAATTTTGCTTAAAAAAAATTTTTTTTTATTACAGTTACCTTACTAGTACTTGAGAAATTTAATTTTAAAAACTCAACATTAAAACCAACGATTTAATGAGTCATTAAAATTGTAGATTTATTTTTACTTACTGGGAGAGTGAGATAAAGGCAGAGAAATTTTGTTACAAGCATGGGATAATTATTTCTCCGTTCTGCTAATTTCGTATTTTTAGTATAATAATTTTTTCTAATTTAGCCTAACCAAATGTTCTTTGTATATTTTCAGTAAATTTTTTGCTTCTTCTTCCTTACAAGCATTATACTGTAAGCCGTCCCGAAATCGTTGATATAAATGCGTTCTTGGATTCATGATTGAATATAAGGTGTTAATTGGTGCCATACCTTGTGGAATGCATCATATTTTAACAAATTCAACGTGCTATCATTTTCGAAACCTACAATAAATCACGATGGACTGATTTGTAACTCGTTTCGGCTGGCAACAGTGTAAGCTATTGAGTAGTTCGGTTGACGTTTCTTACCAGAACTTGGGAATCCATGAATTTTAGCATAAAATTCTTCACGGCTGTAGCAACGTTTTTATCTTTGTCTTCCATCGCGTCATTTGTTTTATATTAACATAAACGCGTGGTACTATACCATTCGTTGCTAGATAATTTCTGACGTTTCCAAATAAGGGCAGCCAATTCCTAACATATTGTGATACTTTTCTGATAAAGAGACGTATAGTGATAAAAAGTTCTTTATTAGTACGCGTTTTCCTTTTAAGACATCAACTGGCAGTTATTTCATTGCTTTTAGCTGAGCCATTAAAATATACAGTATCTTCTTCAGTTCTAGAGAGAGCTTCATGTAATTCAGCAAACTTTTCTCTCGGAATCATTTTTGAGAACCACATTTGCAACTAATCTCCAAGAAATACATTGTTTTTTTATATTCAGTAAAACTGTTATAATTATAATTTTTCATATATGGGTACTCCTAAATAAATTTTATTGACTTTATGTGTAGCAATCACATACAGTGTGTAAAGAAAATAATTGCCATCGGATAATTGAAATTATTTTGCAAATAAACAAAGAAATGCGTTGTTTATCATAAACGCGTCTTTATTTTCAATTAGTTAACATTTCGGTAAACACGTTTTAAAGATATAAATTTCAGAACAAACCACTGCTTACTCCCGTTCTTTTGCATCATGCCAACTCTAGACTAGAACAAACAATTCTTCATTACTGGCTTGGCGGCGTCCAATACCCAAAAGAGATACATTAGCGTATTGTAGGTAGTAAATAACGAAATACCAATTATAATTCCGGGTATAAACGACCACGCTAGTCGGTTAAAAACTTACATTCCTCTTCGTACTGTCGTCTATAATCTTAAGAAACTTCAAAATACAAAAACATTGAGCACAGAAAGGGGAATGAGCGTCCTTTGAAGGTTACACAAAGTTTCGCTCGTGGACAAGACGTGCATCAGAACTCTGCTGTTCAACATGGCAACTTGCATTAAAGGTGCAACAGACGCAAGAAATTTTAATTTCACATGCTGCTGTTTGGCGGCATTTGAAGAAAAAAGATTACAAAAGCTCTGTACCTATTGGAACGCCGATGCGAAAGATATGGCAGAGGCAACCATGCATAGGCACTCTCGATATGTTGGATTCGTCGGGGCGGAGATTTTGTCTGACTTATCGAGAGATCCGACTTATCTAATTTCATAATTTTTTAAATAACCCCCCACCCCCTTTTTATTAAATATAAGCAGCAATAATAATAACGTAAGTCGTTTCAGAGAAGCATTTCGCTTTCTTCCAATTTGATGTTTTATGTTATTTATTCTGATTCATTTACTTTTATATCAGAATTTATTGTAAATACCGAATATATTTTGAATACTCTCAAGCTTCTCTAATGCTTGCAAAGTATTTCTAGTAAAAATTTGATAATAATTTAAATATACTTTACCTTCCATCTGGTCTGAACCATCATATAATGTTGCAGTTGATATGTACATGATTACAATTAATGTCTCTTTCACCGTCGAAAAGTTTGTGATAGATTCCTCTCTGATGTCTGTAACATATTTTAGTGTAACTAAATAATAATTCAAAAATTCGATAATATGTCTTCCATCTGATTTGAACTGTTATTCGATGTTGCACTTGCAATATGCACAAGAACCTAAATCCAAGTTTATCAATAGATATTTAAAACGCTATTGACATTTTTCAAATACAAATTGATGCTATTACAATCAAGCCTAATAGTAACTGTTTTGTCAGGAAAAGTTGGATATCATCTACAGTATGTTAATATAAACAATTACGTATTAACGCTATATCAACGCTATACGGGAATTAGCAAATCTTTTTTCTGTACTATTCAACGTCTGTCGACTTTCTCGTCTGAAAAAAAAAAAATAATCAGATGGCTTGTGTGCAAGTCACCAAAATGAAAATGAGTTAATAAATAAACTAATATTCGAAAACTCAGATCGATGGTTTGATGTTTTGTAGTTATATATAAATTTATGAGGAGGCATCACTCTTTGTTGACATCAGGACACTGTTGGCTTGTAATTTATGACCCTGCATTATACTGGGCTGTGCGTGTGTTACTAACTTGTGTGACACGGTCAATATGAAAGATTGTCAAATCAACAGTAATAAATAGCAACGATGACATCAATTGCCGCTGACAAGGAATGGTTAGGAAAAAGTCTTGAAAGTGAATACATTCGATTCTATCCTTATGATAGTTTAATCGATAGCCACTGCATAGGCCATGGCGCATTTGGCGTAGTTTTCAAAGCAGCAGTAGCAACATCGGGTATCACTGTTGCTTACAAGTTGATCATGTATTCGGACGAAGACGAGTTCTTCAAAAGCTTTGTAAACGAGGTTTGTAA